TGACTTTCAGGAGACCTGCAGCAGCTGAAAGTCGTGTGAAGACCTCAGTGGAAAATGTTTAAGGTTTTGCCTTGCCTTTCCTGAAGGAGGTCAAAACCCTTCAGGTCCACTCAAGAGGGGAAAAAAAAAAATTCCAAAAGTTTACTTTAAAAAGGAAACAAACATCTCGCGAACTTGTGAAAGCACTCCTTGGGTGGGAGACAAATCTGAGCAGGCTGAAAAGCCCCTCATTTCCTTGCATAATGAATAGACACTGAGGAACCACCAGGAGCTTTCCCCCAGGAAAGGAAGGAGTAGGCAAGCAAGCCTCCTCCTCCAGCCATCACCAACAGAGCTTCAAAATGGAGACATCCATAATTTTATAAACACTTCTCATCTCAGCTTTGTCTCCTGGAAACCCACTCTCCTCCATTTTCTGGTGGAGTTACAACATGACACGGCTTACCTGACTCAGTTCCCAGCTCTTAACCAAACTAGTCACTTCCTCCCAAACCTGCAAGCCACCAACAGAAACAAAACCAAAGCAAACCAAACAGCCAACACAGCCACTCAGACACAGCCCCCCCGGGAACCCTGGGAGAAAGCCCCAACTGGTTGGTCTTTTCCCATCCCAGGCGCGTGCTTAAAAATGAAACTTTTGGGGAGGGGGGTGGTAGGGGAGGAATATAAAAGGAACTCCAGGCAGCCTCCCTCCCTCTCTGTAGGTTAGGAGCTACAATGAAAAGAAAATGAGGGTTCCTTCAGGAATGGTGAAAAGCCTGGAGAATGAACGTGAGAAGGAGCTTTGTGTTTTGGAGTCTGGACTGGAACCAAAGCAGACAGCTTGCAAATGGAGGACAGGGAGATAAAGAAAGGGAAAGAGAGGGGCTGCTCCAATGGGGGGCGGCTGCGGCTTCCCCTCGTGCCTGGAAGGAGGGCAGACCCCTGGGAACTGCACCAGGAGTGAGACGACCCCCAGGCCCCTGCCTTCTTTTCTCCCTTCCTCAGGAGAGCTAAGCGTGTGTAATGGCTTCTCCTCTCCAGAAACCGTTGTCCTCCTCCACCAGGCGCTTCTGAACCCCCAGCCTGGAGACAGCTCCTCAGCTGCTCCTGGACCTGCGCCCCCCACACGGCCCGTGCCCCCCGCTCCTCGCCTCTGTCCTCACCAGCAGCACCAGCAGCAGCACCAGCAGCAGCAGCAGCAGCCACCCCCGACACATCCCGACCCCGCATCCCAACTTCGGAGACAGAGAGAGAGGAGAGAGAGAGCCAAATACCTGAGGAAGAGGGGGGTGCCAATCCGCACGGGTTTGCCATCGGGCTGGGGACAGGCAGACAGAGAGGGGGAAAGGAAGGAGAGGGACAGAGAAAGAAAGAGGTCAACCGGCTCAGGTCGGGGCGGCTCGGAGCGCTCCCTCCTCTGCCCCTCGCTCGCTCCCCTCTGGCTCCCGGCTGAGGTCTCCTCGCCTCCCGCCCTCCGCCCCCTCTCTGTCCCTACTCCTGTCCCCGCGCTCGGAGCATCCGTCCTAAGCCTCCAGCTCTCTTCTCACTCATCTTTCATTTTCTCTTCTCTCCATAGAACTACGCGAAATTAATTAAGCCACAGCGCTCCGCTCCCCCCAGCAGAAGGAGCAGCCAGCAGGAAAAGCACAGCCACCTCACTGCCACTGCCACCACCACCACCTTCTCCACCTCTTCCTCCTCCTCTTCCTCCCTCGCTTCTCCTCCTCCTCCTCTTCCTCCTCCCCCTCTCGCTCTCCCTCCTCCCCCTCCTCCTCTCCTCTCTCGCTTCTTCTCTTCCAACAGCCAGTCCATGCAGGGGACTTCCTCTCCTCCCGCTCCACCAACCCTCCTTGGCCGAATGAATGAGCGCGTTTGTGCGTCCACCACCCCGCGCTCTCCTCCCCGGAGCACTCGGACCACCCCGAGGTGGCTGTTAATTGCAGTAACTTACAGAAGAAGCGTCCCGGCGCCGGGAGGTGTTTCGGGTTCTCCAGCCCCACCGCCTCCTTAACCTCTTTCTCTTTCTCCTCTTCCTGCTCGGGTTATTGTTGTGGAAGTTGTTTGGGAGTCTCATGTGCTTCTGCCGGGTCTCAGCAATGGAGGATCGCCATCTTCCCTGCCTTCCTCGGCTCCTCAGACTCGCTGCAGCTGCAGATGACCTGAGATATCCGTCTCTCTCTCCCTCTCCCTCCCTCCCTCCCTCTCCCTCTCACTCTCTCCCCTCTCTCCTCTTCTCTCTCCTCTCCTCCCTCTCCCTCGCGCGCGCTCTCTCTCTCCCTCCCTCTGTGTCTCTCTCTGAATAATGAGCAACCAGAGGGAGAGAGAAAGCAAGACAGAAAGAGAGAAGGAAGACAATCTTCTCCTGCCACACAAAACGCCGGAGCACCAGGGGGTGCGCGAAGCCTTTCTAATAACAACAACAACGTGCAGGAGAGAGGAAGAAAAAAGAAAGAAAGAAATGAGGAAAGGGCTGGGGGGCTGAAAGGGAAGAATTATCCAAGAGCTGGAGAAGAGCAGGAGAAGCTGGAGGAGATGCTGAGGCTGCGGCTGCTGTCCCCCCACCCCCCGCTGAACCCCAGAAGGAGGCAAGGTGGTTGCAAAGTTAAGGTTGGGACATTGTCTTTGTCACTCAGAGCAACACAGAGCCAGGCCAGTGAGATGCAAGAGGAGGAGGTGGCGGCAGCGGAGAAGGAGGTGGTGGTAGTAGAGGAGGAGGAGGAAGAGGAGGAGAAGGAGGCAAAGGAGGAGGAGAAGGGGAAGAGGGAGATGAGATGAATAAAGACCTGCGGAGAAGGCGGTGCGAGGAGCGCGGCGGCCAGGCTGAGACGTGCGCGCTCGGTGGCCGGTAGAGGAAGCCCCCCAGTGAGGACCCTGTCCCGCGGCTCATAGCGCTCCCACCATCAGCCCTGCCCCAGAGGCCGAGCCCCAGCCCCAAAGAGTCCCTCACACGCATCCATCTAGAGGCCAATCTTTGCAAAGAACAGACATGGGGAACTAGAGGTTGCAAGTCTAAATCCAGATCAACCACGTGGGGCTTTTTAATCCCTTTCCAGCTTGCGGTGTATCTCCAGTGAAAAGCTCAAATTGTCCATTATTGGCACGTATTTTGAAGTCTTCTCCCCCGAAATAAAGGCTCATTGTGCATTTTATTTCTTTTCTGATATGGCAAGGGTAGTGGGGGAGGGAGAGAACCCATCATTCCGAGCCTCGGAACCACCACTTTCTTTTCCTAACTTGTGAAATGTTTTGACGGCGCACCAAAAGAAGAAGAAAAAAAAAAAGCCTACTTAAATAACTTTACACCCTCCAGCCCCGCGTTGTTTGCACTTTCTGGCTGATCATCTAAAGGCTCGGAAAGTAACAATCAGCGCTCCTAATGATAAGGTGTCATGGTGTTTTAGACAAGAGAGCCGAGATGGAAGCTTTCACACCTTGAATTTTTATTTGGTGTAATTTCCCCCAAATCGTTCTGACCTATCCCTTTTCCAAAGGAGTGGGTCCCCCCTACACACACCAGGTGGAGCATCTCCTAAGGCTTTAATTTTGTGGGGGGATGTGAGGGGGGGTGCCTACAGTATAAAAATCAATACAGCAAGTCAGGAGCAATTGAAGTTCAAGGGCATGGGCTGGTTGTACCATTTCTATTTCTCGAGTCCTCTAGTTGGACATCAACAGCCTCGGGAGAGAGAAACAAGCAGCGCGCGGGGCAGAGACCTTAATTAAAGTTTCTTTTGTCCGTGTCTGAATTGGGGGATGTTGCTGGATTCCTTTGCATTGGGGAGCGCGCATCCGGTGGAGAAGGCGCGGTGTTGAGGATCCCGAGCAAGATTGCCCTCTTTAATACTCACTCCCTCCCCCTTCCAAACAACAGTCCAGGAAGATGTATCCATAAATCCATACAATAAAGGGGGAGGAGGAGACGCGCGCGGAGTTGGCTTCCATCGGATAACGGGGTTTCATAAACAGATCCGAAGCCTCATTTTCCTAGATATTCCCCAATCGTTTATTCTGGGGCAGAATCTCTCACCCAGAGGCACGATTTCATCCCCCTCCGAGTCAACACTTCCTGCCCCTTTCTCCTCCCACTCACATTGAAAAGCTTGGGAGCCCTAAAAGGGTGTTGATGGCGGGGGGTGATAAATAAATAAATAAATGACACTCTACGCGTGCGGTGGAGAAGAAAGGAGGGGGAGGGAGAGGAAAGGCGAGGAGACGAAAGAGAAAAAGTAAGGAGAGGAGAATAAGGAGGAGAAAGCACAGAGGCAAGAAGGAGACCGGAGTCAAAAGAAAGAAGAGAAAGAAGAAAGGAGAGTGGAGGACGGTAAGGCTGTTAGGACTGGAAAGATCCTGGCTTTGTGCAGAACTGGGAGGACTCTCCCTTCCAGGTGCCTGGAGGGACTTGGGGAAGTCCTTCGGTCCCGAGCTCCTCCCCCACGGGACCCCAGGGGTGTCTGAGCGCTGGCCGCCGCTCCCCCATAAATTCCTCGTGGCAACGAGAAGAAACGCGCCAGGTCTCCGCCGTCCCTTTCAGTGCCCCGGCTGATAATTTACCTCTTTGTCTTTAATAAAAACCTGACTTTTTCTGTCAAGCTCTGCACCGGGAAAATAACAATCGTATTTCAGGTTGAAAGCTCCCATTACTGCTGGGTTTTGGAGGTTGTGATAAAATCTTCATCGACGTGGAGGTACCTTCTGGGTTGGCTTGGGTCGGAAATCCTAAGAGGGGGGCCGCCCTTCCCCGGGGGCAGGGGCGCAGGGAGCCAGGCGGTGGGAAGGGAGGAAGAAGCGACGAGGTCAGAGGAAACCCAGGGCTCCTGGGGCACCGTAGGGCTTCCCGCAGTCGGGGAATGAGCCCTGGGGAGGAGCCTTTCGCGAAAACCTGAGCGCGCCCCAACACGCCTCAGACCTCATAAACCCTCTTGGCAAAGACCGGGGAAGCGGCTGGCAGACCGACCGCGGTGAACTCCAGAAATTAACCTGCGCTACGATTAAACGGGCTGCCGCCCTTTCACACTCACCTCGAGCGACCGAGATAGAGAGCTCCCGAAGCGGCCGCGGGGGGACCTGGCTCCTCCCTCCCGTCCCAGGAGGAGAGGACAAAAAGGGGAGATGGACTTGGAGATGGCCCCGCCCTTCAAACGCTCCAATCCTTGGAAACCAAACCTCCTCTCCAAGCCTCCACGTCTAGAAGGGACAAAGGCAGCGAGGAGATCCAGAGACCGATGGGGAGCTAGGTGGCTTTCGGGCTTCTCATGTGGATGCATTCTGGGGAAGGTACAATGGCGAAGTTTCCATCCCAAATACAGGATGGTCTTTAGGAGACCACCTTCTGGTTTGGAAGCAAATTGATTTCCCAAAGCCATGAAGCAAACTACTGCAAAACTCACGCATAGCCCTGCTTTTTGACTGTAGGAAAGCTAGAATTTCAGTCACCGATTCCATATCAATATTTGGTCGACTTTTTTTTTTTTTTTTTGAGTCACAAGTGTCTTAACTGTCCAACTAATTAAATTGAAAGAAATTAAACATGGTTGGGGGTGTGGGCTTTTTGTTTGTTTGCTTGTTTTTATTGGGGCAGTTTTCTTTCAAATGATAGCAAAGCAGTTGGATAACTGAAAGCTGGGTCAGTCAAGGAAAGCCCTGTGGCTGAAGGTTCAGTGAAAATCTTGATAAACTTGGCACTTAAGTAACTGTAATTATGCTTTGCCATTAGCGGACCATTAAGATAAACAGAAGAAAGTTCACACCTCCTGCTAGTTCATTCACTAAGAATATTCACAAAGATAATACAAGCCTAGTTGGCAGGTTATCTTCTCCACCAGGAAGGTTAATTTCTAAATTTTTAATTTGAAATGGAAAAGCTTAGATTTTGTACACAGCCAACAAGTCTCATGGTGACAAGTTGACTTCGTGAAAATTTGCCTTTTGTACCCTATGCCATTATCCCCTGGAGTCGAATGGGATTTCAAGACTTTATTAATGATCCAAGAAATATGAATATGTTGGAAGTCTGGACTTTCTTCTCCCTTATCATGGGTGAGTGGCATACAGACTCCTCATAAAGGGAAATTATGGCTCATCAAAAGAGTGACTTTATGAGCATTAATAGAATAATAAATCTTGCAATTTTAGTTCAAGAAACAGTGGAGTCCTATAATCAGAGTGACCCATGCAAATATGATCCACTTACTTGCCCAACTCTAGCAGGATAGGGATAGTCTATAAATCATTTTGATTTTTAGAGGTTTAGGAAAGGAAGGCACCCAAATCTCTTAAAGGAAAGTGTTTATAAGGGGAAAGGGGACTCCTATCACCTGCAGGAAGGAATCATGGGAAGAAGGAAGAGTTGGTTGGAAGCTACATTAAAAAGATATAATTTCAACTGAGACAGGAGTGTAGTAGGTGTTCCAATGTTATTGTTTCAGTTTTTACATTCTATCATATAAAAAAGGAAAAGTCCTCCCACTTTCTGAAAACTATACCCCACCCCCAAAATACCGTTTATACCTTCTCTTTATAAACCCCAGATGGAAAACTGTTCAAGTGATGGTTTTAGCAAAATTAAAAGTAGATGAATAGAGATACTGGCTTTTTCAGAAATCTTAATTATTTCATCCTTAAACATTGGATCACATTGTGACACATGTCTCTTGAACTTGGTATTTTCCTGCCTATAAAACTCCTCTTTTTTTCAACTTAATATAGTCTTTTCACACTTTAAATTTGTTTGTTATTATAAAAGAGAGAAACATCAATCCACTGCCTCCTGCACACACCCAGATCAGGGACCAAACCCGCATCCTGGGCATGTGCCCTGATTTCGAATCAAACCCACAACCCTTCAGTGCACAGGATGATGCTCAGCCAACTGAGTCACACCAGCCAAGGTTGTTATTACATTTTTTTTTTAAATATGAATTCTTGAGATCTTTTACTCTTGTTGGAAATTACTGTCTTTAATTATTTTTTTCCTGAAAACTCCAAATTGGATAATTATGGACCCTCCAAATATCAAGAAAGGGAAGTCACTAGCACACCTTCCTTCTGATCCCTTACAGAAAAATCACTGTGTTTTTATGAACCAATTTCAAACATACTTAACTAGTAGATTAGTGTCCATGCTTAAGGAGAAGTAACTAAAAGAAGACAAAGGTGGATGATTCATAATTCTGAACAGCTCTCAAAGGAAGAGAAATTGCAATAACTTACACTAAACTTACTCTGTATGAATACACACACACACACACACACACACACCTTTGGATACCAAAGGAGATGTTTCAATAGCAATGTTTTAAAGAAATATTTTAAAGTCTCCCAAAGGTAGGCGTTAAATTTATAGTTTTATTAAACTAGTTACTGTAATATGGAACATTCATTCATGTGGAATATCGTCCAACCATTGAATATTTGTCTAGCATTGACAGTGTGCCATACTCAGAAATGAATGCTGAGAACACAAAGATGAACCACGAGCTTTAATATCTCACCACTTGGTTATAGAACTTTAGATTTTTGACTTACTCAAAAGCAATACAGGAATTTGGCCAATAAGGAGACTGACTAATTTGAAAATTTATGTTTCTTCTATGGATTTATTGGGAAGTAATATTTTAAGATAAAATTTTGGGATTTCATTTTAAAGCCGGTGTCTTAACTCTTAATTTAACATAAATTTCTTACTAGAGAAGATTCTTTTAGGAAAGAGAGCAAGTTTAAATCAACCATGATTAGATTAACCACAATTCAGAAAAATAAAACTGAACTGAAAGATTGCTAATTTGTTGAGGCATCCCTTGTATTCCCAGATGCCTACTATTTGCACTTAAATTGAAGCCCAGAGAGGGGATGTGACTTGGTCAAGAACACAGAGCTGATGGGGGACGGTCAGCTCTAGAAGCTACGCCTCCATGGCTTTCCTTAAGTTATCATTCTCTTATCACCTTCAAGATTTTTTTACATACTTCCATACTACTTGTACTTTTATTTACTTATATTATTTTTTTGTTGTTGTTCAGGTAGAGTGGGAGGGAGAGAGAGGAACAGAGAGAGAGTGAGAAACATCGATGCAAAAGGAACACATCGAGTGGCTGCCACCCACACAAACCGACCAGGGCCGGGGACAAACTGCAACCGAGGTACATGCCCTTAGCGGGAACCGAACCTGGGTCTCTCAGGACCGCAGGCTGACGCTCTAACCACTGAGCTAAACTGGCCAGGGCTACTTATATTATTTTTAAGTCGACTTAAAATGTTTTAGCTTCATCAGAAGTAATAATACCCATAAAAATCACAGGTCTGATGGGCTATTTACATATACATTTTCAATATACATCGAAATATATATACCATTGTTAAACTTTAAATAATAAAAATAATTTTTGGATTAAAAAAGTCTTATAGTATACTTCTAAAGCTGTTAATAGTAAGGAATGAGAGAGGTGGAGATAAAAAGTGTTTTAAGCCCTGGCCAGTTTGGCTCAGCGGTTAAAGCGTCGGCCTGCGGTCCGGAGAGACCCGGGTTCGGTTCCCGCTAAGGGCACGTAATTTGGTTGCAGTTTGTCCCCGGCCCTGGTTGGTCGTGCGGGTGGCAGCCACTCGATGTGTTCCTTCACGTCGATGTTTCTCTCTCTCTCTCCCTTCCTCTCTCTCCCTCCCACTCTGTCTGTACAAAAAATGGAAAAATATCCTCGGGTGAGGATAAAAAAAAAAAGTGTTTTAAAATTATTTTTGTGTACAAATAGGATTCAATGAAATATTGATTTATAATTTTTAAAAGAATAAGAAAAAAATTATGTGCTCCAGTGATGGCCCTCTCAGTATATATTCTTTTTTAAAAATTAATTTATTTTTTATTTATTAATTTGTTTTTGTTACAAATGTTTCTCATTTTTTCCCCATTGACAACTTCCTCCCCTTCTCCCCCACCCCATCCCCACTTTGTTGTCTATGTTCATTCGTCATGCATACATACATGTAAGTTCTGTGGTTTATCTCTTCTCCCCTGCCCTCCTCTTCTGAGGCTTGTCAGTCTGTACCCTACTTCTATGTCTCTGGGTTAATTCTGTTCAGCAGTTTGTTTAGTTCATTATATTCTACAAATAAGTGAGATTATGTGATCTTTGTGTTTCTCTGCTTGGCTTGTTTCACTTAGCATAATACTCTTCAGGTCCCTCCATGTCGTCTCAAATGATAAGAGATCTTTCTTTCTTACAGCTGCATAGTACTCCATTGTGTATATGTACCACAGATTTTTAATCCACTCATCTACTGATGGACACTTGGGTTGTTTCCAGATCTTACAGCCTTTTTAGCAAAATTTAATAATATATATTTAGTCTTAAAATGCTCTCACTTTTTGTACTCTTAATTGATCCTTTCAGAATCTACCTTAAAGATACAAAGATGTTGAAAAGATTTATACAAAAAAGTGACACAGATAAAGTAATTGAAAATAATGTTATTGCCCTGGCGAGTTTGGCTCAGCCGTTAGAGCGTCAGCCCGCAGACCAGAGAGTCCTGGGTTTGGTTCCCACTAAGAGCACGTGCCTCGGTTGTGGTTTGTCCCCTACCCTGGTTAGGGTTGTGTGGGTGGTAACCAGTCGATGTATGTCTCTTGCATCAATGTTTCTCTCTCTTCCTCCTTTTCTCCCTCCCACTCTATCTGAAGATAAGTGCAAAAATGTCCTCGGGTGAGGATAAAAAAAAGAAAAAAAAAGAATGTGATTAAGATAAGAGAAAGGGTTAAGTAAATAATAATATATCCCCATGATGACACATTAGGCAGTTTAAAATTGTTTATGAAGATTTTGTAATTAAACAAAAAAAAAATGGGTTTATGCTAGGTAAAAGTCCTAGATGCAAAATTATAATCGCTGATTATTTTTTATGATGTACACACACACACACACACAAATTACAGTAACTTGAAAGGAATGTCTGTGTCAATAGTAAGTTGATTTACTACAAAAAATTTAGAAAATGTGGAACTTATGTATAATCTATATGCTATATAATTATATACATACATACACACACATATATACACTATGGAGTCTACTGCTT